GCTTGTAGGTTCCTCCTGAAGGAAAGAATTCCAGAAGCTCCCCCAGAGTGTAGGACAGGATTCCGTTAGACACTTGGCAGGGGAGATGATGAATTCCCAACTGAGAACTTCTTGTCTCATGGTGGGCAGTTAATGAACACTGTATATTTAAAACAAACATCTTCTGGATTGCTTAGAACCAAATTTGATCATCGTACCAAAGAAAAGAATGCAACAACTTCCTTCTTTTAAAATTCTCAAGATGCTTTGCTGAATCAAAGTAACTTGTGCTTCAACCACAATGCCTTCAACAAGAAATGTTTTGGCAACTTCATTGCTTCACAATTGTGATTCTTGGAAACTTGTCATTTTAGATTGCTTGGAATTCTTAAATACCTTTTTTCTGACTTCATTTACTTAAATATCCCAGAATAGCCTCTTGAACTATAAGTTAAGTGATCCAGGAAACTATTTATAGCAGGATGAGTACTCTCTGTGACTGATGTTATGTTTTATTTTGAGAAGGACAAATCATTAAAAAGATAGATAGGGCCCATGGTATTTTAAACTGAAAGCAGGGCCAAGGCAAATAAGGTAGGTAGATATGAAGGTGGAACATAAAAAGTTATGGATGTAGTACTTTTTTGCCAGTTTAGTTAAAGCCCGGGGAGGTCTCCCACAGGAAGGAAGTCAGAGACAGAGTCCATAACCCAGACCTAGTGATAGTTTAGGTAGAAAATCACTTCAGCCTATGGCAGTCTGGCCTCTATTTGCCCAGTGCTTACAATCCAGAGCAGACAGGCAGAAGACTTTTTGTCATCACAAAGGCCAATACTGTTCTTGGTGTCACTGATATCCTCCTATGTAGGAGAAAAATATAAGAAAAAGGAAGGTCAAAGTCAACCTTTTAAAAAATTTTTTTTCTAAGCTTTATTCATTTTTTGAGAGATAGAGAGCGAGTGGGGGAGGGGCAGAGAGAGAGAGAGGGAGACACAGAATCTGAAGCAGGCTCCAGCCTCTGAGCTGTCAGCACAGAGCCTGATGCTTGGCCTCAGACTTACAAACCGTGAGATCATGACCTGAGCCAAAGTCAGATGCTTAACTGACTGAGCCACCCAAGCTCCCCAAGGTCAACCTTTTTTTGTTGTTTTTACTTTTTATGGTGGTAAAATACACAAAACATAAAACTAACATTTTAACCATCTTAACGTATACAAATCTTTGTATACAAAGTATACAAATACAAATGCCAAAAAGTAGCATTTAGTATATTTGCATTGTTGTGTGGCTACACCCATCAACAGAACTTTTCACCATCCCAAACTGAAACTTTGTACCCATTAAACAATAACTCTCCATTCCCCCCAATCACAAGCCCTTGCTAACCATTATTCTATTTTGTTTCTATGAATTTGCCTATTTTGGTTTTTGAGGGGTGTCCTGATTGGATTGGGGCCACCAAATGTGGGGCAACCTGCTCAGGAAGAGGCCTGTGGCATGGTCGGTGAAAGAATTCACCCAAGGCAGAGCAAAGGAGATAGAAGTTTATTGAATACACTGCAAGGGAAGTGGTGGGCAGGACAGCAAAGCAGAGACTGTCTGCCAAAAGGCAGTGGGGGTGGAGGGCTATAGTTAAAATGGGAAGATAAGGAGGCATGAGAACATGTAGAATTTTCCTTTTCTGGTACTTGTGCCCAGGTATAAGTAACCTATTGGTCAAGTAGGGCTTATGAATATTTTGATGTAGGTCCCCTAAAGGACATGTTTGTATTCAGCCCGGGGTCACTGTGGGCCCTTTTACCTTAAGCAGGTTTCCATTGTTCAAGTTGTTTTTCTGAATGCCGCCTCTAGTTTTCTCATATAAATTGAATCGTACAAAATTTGTCCTTTCCTGTCTGGCTTCTTTTACTTGGCATATTTTTTATTCTATTTTACTTTTTATGGTTATAAAGGGCTGTTTTTATTTTGGAAAATGTTAAAAAAAAAAGAAGAAAGAAAACCATTTACCTATGTATTTTAAGTATACACACAAAAAACTCCAGAATGGTCCTTAGACATATAGGAGTTAAACACAAATTCTGATTGAGTAACAACTATGAAGATTTCACCCAACATTTAGAAAACGTGTTCTCTAATGCAGGGGAATTTTAAGTATACCAGTCTCAAGGATTCTTCTCTGATGAAGGAAGCAACTACTGAAAGCTTTTATTCAAAGTACCAGTGCTATAGATGCAAAAAAATCAACAACTCCCCCAATACTACTTCAAAATAAACATACCAAACTTGATTTTCACTAGAATGTTATTTCAACATTCATTCCAATATAAATACATATGAGAAGCAACACAAACAATTATTGAGCTTCATCATCTGGACAAGAATGCCAAGGTAGTCTCTCTTCATGAAAGGCAATTATAATGTGAGGATGCTTCATATTTACCTCTTTTGGCATAATGTTTAAAAAAATTTTTTTTGTTTAACATTTTTATTCTTGAGAGAGACAGAGCACGAGTTGGGGAGGGGCAGAGAGAGAGGAAGACAGAATCTTAAGCAGGCTCCAGGCTCTGAGGTGTCAGCACAGAGCCCGATGCAGGGCTCAAACCCACAAACTGTGAGATCATAACCTGAGCCGAAGTCGGATCCTCAACCGAATGAGCCACCCAGGTGCCCCTGGCATAATGTTTTTTTAAAGTTCATTCATGTTGTAACATGTAATACAGTTTTGTTCCTTTTTACGGCTAAATAATATTCCATCGCCTGCATACACCATGTTAAAAATCCATTGTTCCATCAGTGGTTATTTGGTTTGTTTTCACCTTTTGGCTTATTGTGAATAATGCTATGAACGTGGGTGTAGAGTATCTGTTCATCTCTGCTCTTTGTTGAAAGGCTCTTTCTGGGGTGCCTGGGTGGCTCAGGTCATGATCTCACCTTTTGTGGGATCCAGCCATTGGGTTCTGTGCTGACAGTACAGAGCCTGCTTGGGATCCTGTCTCTCCTCTCTGCCCCTCCCCTGCTCTCTCTCTCTCTCAAAATAAATAAATAAACTTAAAAAAAAAAAAAACTTGCTGCTTCTGCTCCCATTACCCACTACTTCAACCTCCCACCCCAGGTAGCACCCAGTACTTGTTTTTATTTTTTAAATTTTTTTTAATGCTCATTTATTTTTGAGAGATAGAGAGACAGAGTGTGAGCTGGGGAAGGGGCAGAGAGAGAGGGAAACAGAGAATCCGAAGCAGGCTCCAGGTTTCAAGCTGTCAACACAGAGCCCGACGCCAGGCTGGAAGCCACAGGCAGCAAGACCGTGAAGGGAGCCGAAGTCAGACTCAACCGAGGGAGCCACCCAGGCGCTCCCACAGTACTAGTTTTTAAAGACAAAGCCCATTTGGTTTAGCCGAAACGTAAGAACTGTGAGGCAATTTGCAAGTGTAAAGGCAAACAATCTGGCCTTTGGGCATGGCTCCAGGAGACTGAGGTGTGCGTGTGTGTGGGGTGCAGATTTGAGAAAATGTACTTTCTTCTTGGCTCATTCATTAAATGGTCCAATTGTTCTAGCTTTGAGATTGAGATCTTCTACTCAGGCTAGGTTCCAACAATACAGACGTTCTTGTAGTTCTCAGCAACCCAGACTCTATTGCTGTTTTTGTTGTTTTGTTAACAACTTGAAAGCAGACTTTTGCTTTTCTGCAAAGTCCTAGTCTCCACCACTTTGTGCATAACAATTTCCACTTCCATCCCTTTTACTTTTTTTGGTTATCCTTGTGACCAGTTTTGGATTCAGGTTTGGGGGGGAGGCGGTTTGAAAGATTACACACTTAACACCCTTAAGGAAAAGACATGAAATAAATATTGACAAAAAAAATCACAACACATTACTGAAGACTTGGAGGTCCAGATTCCACTGCTGAGATCTCTTCAATCAATTCATCAGAAATGCTTATGGTACAGGGCTGGTTTCCGATGGCACGCTTCCGAGGCTTCCCGTCCTCAATCTGATACACTGCGGAAATGAGGGGCTCTAAAGTGAGATTCCTTAGCCTCGCCTAATCCTGTCATATAGTAGCTGGTCTGAACGGACCTAGGTAGCGTGTCGTTCATCCGTGTCCCTCGCATTTAGCTCAGGACAGATGCTTGGAATGTGCTGGAGATTTCAAGATTTAAGTCACGTAGGTTCCTACAGAATGGTGAGGCACGGCTGAGTGAAAAAACCACCGCGGTGGGACTGAGAAGATTCCTGCCCTTCGCCGGACACGGCGCGGTCCTGGACTTCAACAGAGCCCCTGCCCAAGGCCCTGCTTAGGGCCGCATTTCAAGGGCGTCCGTGTCCTCTATCGACTGACCTACACCGAGGGGAGCAGAGAAGGCTCTCTGGATTTCGAAGATTAGTTTGCGCTCCCATTTGGGGCCGCAACACGTCCCACAACCGGAAGCTTCTTTGATAAAGAAAAACGGCGGAAGTAGACCAACGGCGCCCCCTCAGTATTTTGCCCCATGCTGGCCCTCCTACTTTCTTCTGGAAGGGGAGGTGCCCCAGTGCTCTTTGCCGCCGTGGGGTGTCGCTGCGGCGGGTCCGTGCCCAGTCTCAATTGGCTTCCCAAGCATCTTTCCGCCGCTCTGTCCCTTCCGAGGTTCTCGTGCCTGGACGTGACGTCCGCTTGTCGCAATTGGGGGCGGAACCTCAGAAGGAAAGGCGTCTGAGCCGGCGTCTCGCGAGAACATTCCTTTCCTTCGCAGTTCTCGCGCTACAGCTTCACTCTCGTCGCGACGAGATCTTTCGAGATCTTCTCCGCCCCCGCTACCGGCGCCCTCCTCTGCGGCCGCTGAGCCGGAGCCGGCCTGAGCAGCGCTCTCCGCTGCGGCTTCCTTCCCACATCTAGGCGCTCGCGAGGACACCCTCCCGTCTCCCGCGAGTCCCCATCCCCTGGCCCACGCGGCTTGCTCTCCACGCGCCAGCCCCGCCGGGGTCCGTGTCCTGTTTCGCTGGCCGGACCTGGGCTCGAGCCCGAACTGTAGCCGGCGCCATGTCGGTGGTGGGCATAGACCTGGGCTTCCAGAGCTGCTACGTCGCTGTGGCCCGCGCCGGCGGCATCGAGACGATCGCTAACGAGTACAGCGACCGCTGCACGCCGTGAGTGTGGGCCGGTCCGGCCGCGTGCACGGGGAGGGGGTGGGTGGGAGGTAGCGCCTGCTCTGGTCGGAGACCCTCGCGCCTTGGGAAACGCGGGCCGGGGAATCACCTCCGTTTCGAACCGAGGCCCGGGTGGGTAAGGAACTCCCACTGGGTGTCAGGTCACAGTGGCCGCGGCTCGCCGTGAGTGCGCCAGCGGCGAGGCCTTTTTCCACTGGCCTGCCGGTTGAGCGAAGGCTGTGAGTGGGTACTCGTACCAGCGGAGGGTATGGGTAGGACCTGGAGGGGAGGCAGGCTTGGGATGTATAGTGGACCGAGTTCTTCCTTTAGAGGGCAGAGGCAGGCCCAGGGCGTAGTAGCGTATCTTGAGCCCACCACAGAGTTCGGAGCTTGGCAAACAGCAGGCGCCTAATAAAAGTTAGTTGAATTGTACGGGATCCGGTGTCTGCCGGCCGTCTGAAGATGGAGCGGCCAGAATCCCACGTGAGTGGGGGCGGGGCAGCACCCGGAAGAGAGGGAGCCGGGGCACCAGAGGCTCGGGCTCTGGTTGGAGCCGACAGCGGCCAGAAAGTACTTAAAATCAGTGTCTTCTTGATGCTTCTACATTCGCATTGGTTTTTCACTTCGTTTTAGTATATGGAACTATGTTGGGTCATTCTCTTTCATTCTGTGCGCATCCACACCTAACAGCGTTCCACTTTCACAGTTAATACATTCCAACCAGGGTGTTGGCCGCAATTGTTAATGAATGACTCAGGGGTTCACTTTGACTTTTAGAATCTATAGTAAGTTATGGGACCAGTATAGACACAGCTCTAAAAAATCCTGACTCACTCAGGTCTTTCCTTGGTTAAAGAGCCTGCTTGTTGACCGTAGAGATACTTTTCAATCCATTGTTTTCTTCTGGGACAAAATCTTTTAAGAAGCCTATTATTTTCTAGGTTATCTTATTTGCCAGGTGGCCCTTCGAGGGCTTCTGTTCCAAGGCCGATTTTTCACCCTAACTTTTGTCACCTTTCAGCAGATTGGTAGCCAAACTAGATTGCTCTGTCCACTAGTCTGATCTTTGCTGCCCAGGGGCTCACAATTCCACTTGACCAGTTTCTGCCCCTTGTTTTATCTAGACCAGGCACTTGCCTGAAAACCCGTCCCAGGTCCTAAAATGTGGTTTGATGGCCCTTTCTCGATTTGTTCATAGTTTATAACAGCTTTGTTGAGATATAACCCACGTACGGTACAGTCAACTCACTTAAAGTGTACAGTTTGATCGTTTTTAGTGTAGTCCCAAAACTGTGCCGTTGTCCCCACAATCAGTTTTAAAACATTTTCATCCCTCCAAAAAGAAATCCTGTATTCATTAGTTGTCAGACTCCTTCCTATTTTTACAGTTTTTAACAGTGGTTTTTATGTTTTAATTTGTCATTCCAGGAAAGATACCGTGTAGTTTTCTTCCCAAGGCATTGAAGTTTTTGTTTTTGACTATTTAAGCATCAGTTTTCTATTTGATACTGTCTTCTCTAGATCCAAGTTTTCTTCATTTGTAAAGATAGTGCACTGAATCACATTTTTAACTTTTTGGTCCTTTCTTGCCTAGTTTTGAACATGATTTCTCTCCAGAGAGAATTCCCTATATTGGAACGAATAGTGTTCCTGAATTTTCTTTCAGACTGTTATCTTAGGCTTTTTTTTTTTTTAAATTAAAAAAAAAAAAAAGACAACAGCTACAACAGTTTTACCATGAATTCCATTGTTTGGAATGAAAAGGGTTGCTTTAAGAAAAAAAAAGATTAAACAAACCGAGGGCTGATGTGGTGTGGGTGGGGGGATGGGTTAAATGGGTGATGGGCATTAAGGAGGGCCCTTTTTGGTTTGAGCACTGGGTTATGTGTAAGAGATGGAATTCCTGGGTTCTACTCCTGAAGCCAAGACTATAGTGTATGTTAATGAAATTGAGAATAAAAAAACAAAAAAAAAAGATTAGTCTTTCCAAATTGGAATTAATTTTGCCTCAAAGACTAGGTGATGGGTGACCAGATACATCATGTAACTATGATAAAATACTGTCTAGATACTTTTGAGCAATTGAAAAAAAATTTTTTTTTAAAGTTTATTTTTGAGAGTGAGAGAGAGAGTGCAAGCAGGGAGGGGCAGAGAGAGAAGGAGACACAGAATCCAAAGCAAGTTCCAGGCTCTGAACTGTCAGCACAGAGCCCGACCCAGGGCTCGAACCACAAACTGTGAGATTGTGACCTGAGCCGAAGTTGGATGATTAACAGACTGAGCCACCCAGGCACCCCTTGAGTGATTTTTTTAAAATCTGTTTTCCCCATATTTTATATTTTCCAGGAACTTCTAGGGATATCATACGTTTTGAACTAGGATTTTGCTTAGTTTAAATTTTTTTCTTGGTGTCCCAAAGTAGAAGGTGGGAGTGGAAAGGTTGATTTTTTTTTTTTTTTTTTTATAGTAGTTATGGAAAAATGGATTTTTGTCTCAGGCACACAGTATGATGTAGGTTTGCTTTAATGTGATAGTGGAAATGAGATGCAATTTTTGGAGAGTTGGCTATTTTGGAATTACCTCATTTCAAATTGTAGGTGTAACAGTATTTGGAATCAGTTTTGGAGGATCCAGTTAACTTTTGTCCAGAAGAGACTCTTGCTTTTCTACTAAATACAGGCTTTCTAAATTAAAAATAAATAAATAAAAATTTTTTTTTAACATTTATTCATTATTGAGAGACAGAGAGAGCACAAGCATGGGAGGGGCAGAGAGAGGGGAAGACACAGAATCTGAAGCAGGCTTCAGGCTCCAAGCGGTCAGCACAGAACCTGACGTGGGGCTCGAACCCAGGAGCAGTGAGATCATGACCTGAGCCAAAGTCGGACACCCAACCGACTGAGCCACCCAGGTGCCCCAGGTTTTCTAAATTTTAGGAAATATTGAGTGCCTCCTATATGTTAGCTATTGTGCTAAGCCCTGGAGGTACTCTGGACAAATAAATAGGATCCTGCCGTCATGGGCATGGGTGATGGGGAAAAAAACAGATGCTAAACAAACAAGTCACTACTAACTGTGGTAAAGGTTTAGATAGGAAAGTATAGAATATGATGATGAGGCCTGGGTGGGGACACCTAATTTAAATTGGATGTGTGGTGGGGATGGAAGATACTCTTAAAGAAGTGCAATGTAAGTTAGGCCCTGGAGGATGAGTAGAAATTTACATGGAGGTGGTGGGTGGGTCTAAGGAAGAGCTGATCCAGGAGCTGATCCGGAACAAGTGATGAAGACCTGAAGCATTTAAAAGAGCTTGGTACACTTGCCTGAGAAGATCATAACTACTCTTGAGCCGTTTGAGAGAATGTTGTGAGATAGATGGACTGGAGTGAGGCAGGACTTTGTAAATCATGTTAAAGGGTTTTTATTTAGGTGCAGTAGGAGTTGATAGAATTTAAATTTTAAAAGTATGATTGCCTTTTTTTGTGGAGAATGGATTTATCTGAGAAGGGGAAGAGAAGAAGCAGGGTGTTACTTAGGTTATTGCAATATTATTCCATGGGGGAGTTGATGTTGCTCTCCACTAGTGTCGTATCATGCGGGGGGCAGTGTGGGTGGCTTTGAGATAAATTTTGGAGTTTTAAATTAGGAGCATCCAAGTTGATGTTGATCATAGGCTTTGGAATAAGATGAAAAGCTTATTTTTATATTTAGTGGGATTATTACAGTAGAAAGGGTACAACCTTAAAGCTCTGGAAAGAAAATGTTACTGGAGTGCCAAACATTATGAAAGAATTGGGCTATACTTTCCAAAAAGAACAGTGTATAGGATAGAAAAATGAATTACTTATGAAATAATTTCTTTATGTGAATTGTTTATATGACCCTTTTTGTGGCCCTAGTTCCTAATAAAACATTAGAAATATTAGAAATTTGAAGAGACCAAATTGTCTATTATTAGCTGCCTTTGAGAGAGCAAAAGCTGAAAGTATGTACTTTCTGGTTAACTGGGAGATCAATAATTGATACTTGTGCGAGGAAAGTATTCCTATGAAGTTCTTGTTTTTGCATGTTATGTAGAGCTAATTATAGCAGGTGGATCTTGGATCTTTTGGATTCAAAGAAAAGGCAAGTTACTTTGTTAACTAAAGTTCAGACTGCTTTATCCCATTTACCCTCTTATGTTGAATTGCAGAAATCATGAAAATAGTTCCTTAGAATCACTAATGAGCTAAAATACAATTTTGTATACAAAGTGGGTAGACTATTTGACAGGAACTTTATGCCATTAGGTTCTAAATTAAAAAAAAATTTTTCTTAATGTTTATTTTTGAGACAGAAGAGCGAGTGGGGGAGGGGCAGAGGGAGACACAGAATCTGAAACAGGCTCCAGGCTCTGAGCTGTCAGCACAGAGCCCAAGGTGGGGCTCGAACCCATGAATTGTGAGATCATGACCTGAGCCGAAGTCAGCACTTAACCAACTGAGCTACCCAGGCACCCCTGAATTGGGTTTTCTACATTAAAACATTTTTTTTCTTGACTTAACAAGATACATGTTTGTTGTAACAAAAAACACTATGTTGCTAAAGTTTCTTGTCCTTCTCATTATTTGTTATTTGTTGTGTATCCTTGTATACCTTTTTTCCAGACTTCTGCAAATATACATAGGGGAGTGGGTGTGTTTAAACAAATAGGATCATACTATATTTTGTAAAATTTGTACACATATATTTTAGACATCCATAGATAGGAATCTACCTTCTTAAATGTGTAATTATAAAAAAAATTATTTATTTTGAGAGGGAGAGAGAGAGAGAGAGAGGGTGCTAGTGGGGTAGGGGCAAAGAGAGGGGAGAGAGAATCCCAAGCAGTCTTTGTGCTCTGTGCTGAGCTGGACTTTGGGCTCAATGTAACCACCCTCAGATCATGACCTGAGTTGAAATCAACAGTCGGACGCTTAACCAATTGACCCACCCAGGCGCTCCTGTACTTCTATTTCTGT